ACTATGAAAGACTATGAACGCAAGATTTTTTATTCAGCATTTTAAATGGTGTTTTACACTAAATCCAGTTAAACAGGACTAATTTTGCTCTCTTTATAATGAAATATGCAGTTGGTCAGTGTTCTACAAGCCTTGACGATATCCAAATATGTTCAGAAAAGGATACTGTATTGTATTGTGATATAATTTATCACGATATATTGTCATATTGCCCAGCCCTACTTACAAGGCACTGTAATAACAAACAATGTATCTCTCTCTCCTCCACAGAATGACTCTCGGTTGTCTGAGGTTGGTTTTGTGTCATGCAGCAAGGGGTGCTTGCCATTCTGTTCGCTCTACCAGCCCGGTTACTCTTCTCCTTCCACATAAAATCCAACCATACAAGCCCCTGAGTGCCTACCTGGGCATGACCATCCAGCAGTGGACCCCATTCTCCACAGCAGTGGGGGGCAGTGAGGAAACTGAAGAAAGCGAACCCCAAAAGAGGAAGAAGAAACAGGACCCCAAAGCTCGAGTCACCATCGGTAGTGTTGGCAGGAAGATTCACCAGCGCCACCTCCAGCTGCTGGGCGAGGACGGCGCGGATTTGGGCGTGATGCACCGGGTGGACGCTCTGAGGCTGATGGATGAAAAAGGACTGAAGATGGTCCCTATAAACGAATACTCTGACCCTCCGGTGTACCGGCTAATGAGCGGCAAACAGATTCACGAAGAGCAGATGAAACTGAGGGAGAAACAGAAAGCCAAGGCGGCAGGTGTGCATCATTCACCAGCACACATGCTCTTAAAGGGGAACTCCACTAGTTTTTCAAGATTTCTGCTTAATTCAGTCATTAAAATGTAAACAGTCATTCAGAGCAGTTTGGTGTGTAATGCTTCGTTCTAGGGAAACCTAAGAGTCAGAATTGTTCACAGTGGTGGTGATAGGAACCAGATGTCCACCTCTAAAAGCTCCCTCACAGAACTTTATTACATAAAATTGAGATAAATATGAGTAACATTTTTACAGTAGTTTTGAGAAAGTTAGATCTTAAGAAGCAGACTTCAAAAAGCACGTCTTGGCTGTCTGACTACTTTTTGGAAAAAATAACGTAAAATGCGGCCTATGCAAACTTATGGCACATTTTATATTTTATATCCAGTTTGTTAGAGTCAGCAAATAAAAAGAAATTGCACTAAAATGTGCAGAAAAACACCACATCTTCACGTGTTCTCGGTGAAGGATGCATTAACTTGTTTTCACGTTAGATAAGCACTCAACTTGTATCCGTTCCGCAGGCTCTGTTCAGGTAAAGGAACTGACCATGTCCTCAGATATTGCCCCGCACGACCTGGACACCAAACTGAGGCAAGTGGCACACTGGCTGGACAAGAAACATCACATCAGACTGACACTTAAGGCTGGAGGAGGCAGCGGCAGTGATACAGCTTTGGTAAGAACCATTAGCTCTACTGTCCTTAAGCTTTAAGTGACACACTGAAAGGGCTGATGTACCACAATAATCTTTAGATCCACTTTTATATCATTTGTGTGGTTTTATGTGCCAAAAATAATTAATTTGTAAAAGACCATTTCCACACACACATATATGATCTAAGCTGCTTATCCTTCTGGGTCGCTGGGGGATGCTGGAGCCTATCCCTGTTTTCATTGGGCGGAAGGCAAACCATTTCCAACCTCTTTTTAGTGGTTAGTTTTCATGATATGGGCCCTTTCAAAATAAAGCTTTTTAAATATTTCTTGGCTGGAATGAAAACCTGCAGCCATACCGGCCCTGCTATAGAAGCTTTACATATGAGGTTTATTACTTTAAAATGGTTCTTATATGGTTGCTGACACTGTATGACGTACTGTTATCTGTAAATAATTTCTCTTTCTACTTTTGTCCATTTATTTTTAAAGATGTTAAGAAGAGCCATTCTGTCCTTTTAACAAAAATCAAACCACTTTGGGAGCCACATTTAATGTCCATTTTATTGAAGTAAAATTTTACCATCTTAGCTGTAAATATGTCTTAGTGTGTGCTAATGTGCTACTATAGACTAAAAATATAATACAAATGAAAACTCAGACTTCCTTTGCTCTGCTTTAAGCTTTAGCTCAGCTATAGCTGCATTTTTGGCATCTCCAGCAGGAAAGTCCATTTGTCTCCAAATTATTGAAAGTCTGCCCACCAAGCTTTAGGGTTTAAGAGTGAATTAGCAGTCATACATTAACTCCAGCATTTGAGACCTTTTATAGTTAAAACTGTGTTGAACGATCAGCAGAGCTTTATTTTACTGTAAAGGAGGATTATTTCATTTTTACCTAGAAATCTAATTCTGCTGTGGAGCCACAACAGGACAGTAAAAGAGCCGCATGTTGCCGACCGCTGCCCTAGTCATACACGTCCAGCAACTACTAATGTACCAAAACATAAAGAGAACCATGCACTGAAAGGTACTTCAGGGGAACATAAGTGGTTCATTGCTCCAAAAAACCTTTGGTTCCATCTGACATTATTTTACAGTGTTGGTGCTGTTATGCAATACTTTTGAGGAACCAGGTCAAATTCAAACTAGAATAGGACCAAAAATATGTACTTACTGAGTAAAAACTCTTTAAACAAAAACACTGAGATCTCGACAGTATGGACTTTTAAAGTGTTCTTATTAATTAAACTCTTTTTTTATTATTATTATTTTACCTTTATTTAACCAGGGTAATCACATTGAGACCAAAAATGAAATGCAAGAACAATCAGAATGATTCAGTTCTTTAACAGTTTTCTTAAAATCAGTTAAGGAGATAACCTGCTCCAATTTCAAATGTTTCTGCAGATACTATCAGAATGTGCATCTGAATGTAACTATTAGAACGTAAATTGTATCGAGACTTATTTGTTGATATGAATGCAGACAAATATGAAGGAAGCTGACCAATAATTGCTTTATAACAATTTTTACAACAATCAAATTAATTTGCCTTCGCACTGAAAGTGAAGGCCAACCAACCATTTCATAAAAAGTAAAAGTTTTTTTGGAGCAGCGCTGTAGAAAAACCACTTTTGGTTCCCAAAATAACGATTCTGAACTATTATTCTAATAAGACGTGAGTGTGAAGAACCTTTTAACCTTGATGTAACGAAAGGTTTTTCCCTAGAACCTTATGTCCAAGTCAACAACCACTTAGGAATGCTTATTGTTAAGAGGGTAAGAGAGAACAGTTAAAGTGGGAGTTGCTTCTGAAGTTCATTATTGCTTATAAATTGTGCTTCAAAGTGCTTGTGGCCATTTCTAACAAACATACAGAAGCCAATTCTAATTGTGGCTGGTTTAATGTTCATAAAAAAAAAACATGTTGACAGATTTGTCTTCATCATATGGCTTCAGATGCTGCACAGCCTTTATCCAGACTTCCAGGCCACAGTGCTGTAACACTGACGTCTGCTGGGAAAATAGAAATCTACTCTTTTTCACTGTCACAGTATGACAGATCAAAGGTCGCCCCTGGCCAAATTCCATATTTTGTTGATTTTCTGAGTGTAAATAAGTGAACACATCCTCTACAGAGAACACACCTCTTAACGCAATTACTGTTTATTTGCTGAACTTAACATACTGGGAAGAAAAAACTTTCTCTACCTTATTCTGGAGCGAATTATGTGATTTCTTAAGAACCTTTCTCCAAATCTGGCAAAAATAACTAATATTTGTGGGACTACTGAACAAACATTCAAACTCCATCATCTGAAATGCTGCTGAAGTGCTCATGTCTGCATTCTGCAGGAATTTTCAGAGGCACCGTTTACTTTCACTTCAGCTTCAAATGAGCATCATCTCTCCATGATGACCACAAAGTAAACAAGGAATTCTTATTTACTACCATTAACGCAAAACACCTGCTGATGTTCGTCTCCATGGTAACCAGGCAGCCAGTGATAAGGGCCTAGATGTGGTCACCATGACGATCTTCAGAGATGAGTGTCCTGCATAATGGATTCCAATCTAAAAGGCTCTGGCAGATTGGACTCCACCTTCATAGATACATTGGCATCTGATTGGATGATCACTACACAGCTGAATGCGATTACTGTATATTTGCTATATTTAACATACTAGGAAGGAAAAAAAAACATGTGGCCTGTGCAAAAACTATGGCACATTTTATAGTTTGTTCTCCAAATATGTTAAATATATTTACTTGATTAATATAGGTGTGTTCTCTGTAGAGGACGCCTCAAATGACTAGGTGTTCAAACTTTTGTACACAACTATAAGTGGCAAAAGCATCCTGTGACTTAATTGACTGATCCCAATAACAAAACATCGCAGGAACAACAGTACTAGAATGCAAAGCTCATGAGAATCACATCAGTGTGGTGTTTACCAGGTTAAGATTCTAGTTAGGATTTCTAGGTTACTACTGAATGACCGTTTGGAACCAAAACACTCACAATGAAACCTTTATCAGATCCAGACAACTTTATGATACACATGTATAGGTACAAAGACACCTCAGAGTTCATTAAAGTGCTGCACCTTTTTAACTGAGGTAAATTTCATGCTTTAGTGCTTGACGATTGCCACTGTACTTGCATGTGCTGTTTCTGTGACCGCAGGATACACTTCTGGACCAAATGGTGGAGAAGATGTCAGTGCCTGTGGGTTTTGTGTCAAAAACCAGAATTATACGTGAGGGACGAGCCGCCATGTGCATCCTGCGGCCTCCGTCCGCCAAAGAACTGCAGCAACGGGGAGCACAAACCTCCAAGCCAGAATCTGGCACACAGAAACCAGCGTCTACCTCCCAGCCTGACCAGTCAGAAGACTCACAGCAGCCGTGAAATCATGACATAATAAAACAGCTCTTCATACAGACTCAAGTTTGAATGAATTTGTTGACAAAACTATAAAAAAGTTAAATTCATACGTAAGTTCATCGCACCTTTAACTGAGATTTGTCATAATGGTGCCTCCTTTTTTCTAGACATTGTGTGAATACATTTTTTCTAAATAAAAAAATTAGGCGACCCATTCTTGACCTTATTCTGAAGCAAATTAAGTAAAGTTTCTTAGTAATTTTTCGTTTTTTTTTTGTGACTACTGAACAAACATTCAAACTCCATTATCTAAAATGCAGTGGCAAACATGTTAGTGCTCATGTCTGAATTCTGCGGCTGCATTTCAGGAATTTTCAGAGGGACTGTTTACATTCAGTTCAGCTTCAAATGAGCATCATCACTCCATGATGACCAAAAAGTAAACAAGATATTCTTATTTACTAGTGTTCACTCAAAACACCTGCTGATGTTTGTCTCCACAGTGACCAGGCAGCCAATGATAAGGGCCTAGATGTTGTTACCATGACGATCTTCAGAAATGACAGTGTCCTGGATAATGTACACTCTTAAAAATGATGGTTCTTTGAGGGTTCTTTCGTAAAGAAAATGGTTCTATATAAAACCATGGACACTCAAAGAACTGAATCTGAAGAAGCCTTTAATCATGCTAAGGATTCTTTAAGTGTTAATAGTTCCTTATAGTACCATATTCTTTACTAAAGAATCCTTAAAGTCTAAAAGGCTCTGGCAGAGTGGACTCCACCTTCGTGGATACACTGGCATCTGACTGCACGATTACTGGGCTGTTAGAATGGTTAGAATATGCTGTCAGATTTGTGGGCTTTTGATTGGCTGATGACAGAATTTTTAAATTCTATGGGTTCCTACTGGATGGTTGCTGTTTTCTCAAATTCAGTCAGTTCTGACTGAATAATCACTGTATTCTCAAATTCAGTGGGTTCTGACTGGCTGATCACTGTATTCACAACTGCAGTGGGTTCTGATTGGATGGTCACTATATTCTCAAATTCAACAGGTTCTGACTGGCTGATCACTGTAGTCTCTAATTCACCAGGTTCTGATTGGATGGTCACTGTAGTCTCAAATTCGGACTGGATGGTATTCTCAACTTCAATGGGTTCTATCTGGCTGTCTGCTGGACTGTCCAACACAAGGGGTTCTAGTATGAGAATAATTACACTGTCCGAGTTGAGGGATTCTGATTGGCTTATTTCAGCCTCCTCAGTGTTGTGTGTCCACGACTGGGCGATTTCAGCTCTGGGAGTCGTGAGTGAGTTCATTGGAGTGAGTATATAATCCGATGAGCCAACATGACTGTCCTCATTAACAGGCTGCGATAAGCTCCCCACTTGACCATTGTTTTCTTTGAAGTGTTCTGATTGGCTGGTCACTACACATGTAGATTTAGCAGGCTTGGAGGCTTCCACTGGACGGTTTCTTAGAGGATTGTAGCCACTCAAACGAGATGCTAGAGATCGTTTTGGACGGGGTTTCTTCTTAAACTGCCAACAAAAAGGCATATTTTTAATAATAATCACTTTTTATCAATACTGTTATAAACCCCCTTTACAACCAAGTGCTTAAACCAGATCAGATATCAGAAACTTTTAGCTTATTCTGGATGTTATAATAAATAAAGAGAATTACCTGTTTCTTCCTTTCAGGGTCGTGTACCACACTATGGCGCTGTAAACTTTGCTGTGGGCAAAACCATAAAACAGTTTTTTAGGATTTCAGAAAGGTCAAGAACTTTTTTTCTACAATTTTGCTAAAATAAAGATTTCAGGCTATTTTTGGAAGTGAAAATATACAATAAATGAAAAAATATTATATAATCAGTGTGTTGATGATTCTTCAATGATTCTTAAACATGAAACGTTTGGCCGTATGTGAGTTTCCAGCATCCAATGCAATGAATACTTAATATACTGAAGCCAGTGGTCTAGTTCAGCATTCCTGAGCTCTTATAAGGGATACAGTGTCACGGCAGCAGTCGCACACTTGCCTGTCTTTTTTTGGACTTTTACTGTCACTACGTACCCAAAAGGGAGTGCATGTGGGCCATGGCACAAGCTGATCCAGCATGCTACTATTTAGTTCACTTTTCTACATTTTATGTTATACAGCACTGTGCAAAAATCAGAAAACTCAAGGCAGAAAACACACTGAAAAAAAATATACATGCAATACTTTGTACTGCAAACATTGTACTGAAAGCCTGCAAAAAACAGGGTCATAAAACAGAATTCCTACTGGAATCTGGTTTGACCATGACTTGCCTGTGGCAGTGAGACACATTTCTAGGAAAAAAGTGGAATTAGTTTTATCAAACTGCTGCAAAATTTAAACAAAAACTGTGTCGCATTTATAACTTTGTTCAGTAAATATTCCTTTTGCCCTCCATTCTATGGAGGAGACTTGCTGTCAGTTTTACAAAGAAACCTGCAGGGATATTTTTCCACAAGGTCTAGACTCTCAGTCCATTGATCTGAAAACACCAGCAGCTTCTTTGTTTGATGTGTCCATCTCCTTTTCTCAGTGAGGTTCTTCTTGACAGCTACACATCCTTTCAGACCCACAGTACTGAGTCGTCTTCTCACAGTGGAAGGATGGACAGAAACACCTGTGGACGTTTTCAGATCTGAAGCAGCTTGATTTTCTCCTCTCTCTCAAAGATCAAAGCTTTAAGATGCTGTTTATCTGATGGGGGCAGTTTTGGTGTCTACCAGGTCTTCCGGGTGGTTGTTAGGAGTCTCATTTTCTCTGTAGATTTTAATCAGTTTCTGAACTCCAGTTTTGGAAACTCCTGGCTTTTCACTTTCCTTATGCAAAAACAGGAGATTAATAAAAGGTGTTTTCTGACTGCCTTGCGATGGACTGACAGCCTGTTGTGTTTCCTGCCTTCCGCTCAATGAATGCTGGCATAGGCTCCAGCACCCTCTGCGATGCAGAACGATAAGCGGCTAAGAAGATGGACGGATAGATGGATGTTTTCTGACTTCTGCACAGAATTGTATCAAGTTGGTTGTACAAAATATTTTTTTTGATACATCTCTACAGATCATCGCATTTACATATTTAATATGCAAACAGATCCACTAAAATAGTTGCCGGATCCCATCAGGAAGGTGCTGCATCTGAATCTGTCTTGCACAAATGAAGCCCTGGTAGTAATATTCGGGTGTTTGGACAGCGGAGTAAACAAAATGCCTCATGTATCTAAAAAGCACTGTTCTTCGCTGCTTAAGTGTTTGTATCCAAGGAAAATAATGAAAAGCAGCAAACGGATGAAGCTAGAGCCAAACACTCTGCAAACCTGTGTGCAGAAAAGTGACGTATGGTGTATCGCAATCGGTCCATGTGTGTGAAAGCAAACCAGCGATAATGAGCCCCCAAATGAGCGCAGAATCGGTCCTGGGTATTCGGGACGCCCTTAGCACTTTAGGTGTCTCAGACAAGAGAAATGCCCCATTACCTTCATGCAGAATGTCTTTCCGCAGCCAGGGTGAGTGCAGGTAAAGGCGCGCTCCTCCTGGTGGAAGGAGAGGATGTGGCTCTGTAGGTTGAAGGCGGTGGTGTAGGAGCGCTGACAGCCGTCTCTCGGACAGCGGAACACCACCCGCTCCACAGAGTGCACACGCAGGTGTTCCCTCAGCTTCCACTGAGCCTTGAACATCTTCTTACACTGATCACACTGTACTGTAACACAAACATCACACGCCAGTTAACAAATGCAATCAGATTAATGCAGTTACTCCCTTTTTACTCCCAACATAGTTTACCCAAGACGTGTTTAGTGTCTTTAGTTTTGCACAGGAGCTACGAGGATAATGTAGCTAATGGAAGCTTACAGCCCACCAATAAGCATGATGTTAAAGAGACCATCTTACATTTTCTTATATTTTATTAACAAGTTTAACATTTGTGTGGTTTTATTAACCAAGATTGGTCATAATTCATACACATTTTCCAACCTCTCTTTATCCCCTAGAAATAAACAGGCTGTTTGTATTACTGGGACATATCAGTCACATGCAAATGAAATATGTTTTAACTGGCTGCACTGAATTCAAAAAGCAACACTCCTTAGAACTTTATAGTGCATTGTGGATGGGTGGGGCTAAACTGCTGTAGGCTGAAGAGGTGGATATGTAAATGAGTTCATCACAGAAACACTGGCTGTGTTTACATGCAAAGATTTTTGCCAATCCGATTGAATACATTCCAATTATAGATTAAGAGTGAGGTGTTTTTATACTCACTCTACTCAACAATCTGAGGGAAAATCTCCGTTTACACGCACACTACAAGTAATCAGATCCAAAATGACAGGTAAGACAACGCGTGTTACCATGACAATGAGCATCACGTGAGGTCCAGTCAGAGTGAGACGAGTTTTCAGTTGGAGCGCTTGTATTAAAGTATTAATACTTGGGTAAAATACCGACTGCAGTAAAAGTACCTTACCAGTAAACAGCTTGAGTAGAAAAGTATCGGGTCAAAAAGTTATTTAAGTGCTGAGTAACTTATAGAACTGCAGTGGAACATCTTAGTACCTCGTTCGACACAGGAAATGAAGTCTGTACACCTCTATTCTTCTATTTTGGGATTCTTTTAATCTATAATAAAATGTTAAAGCTCCGAAGTCCGAGATGTGAATAATCACAGAGCAGTACAGATGTCCTCCCCAACAAAACAGAATGAAATTAAACACTATGTAATTAGCAACTAAATCTGAATGGTTAAAAGTATTATGATCTGAAAATACTCAGGACAGTACAAGCCCATCAGTATTTTACTGAAGTACACGTACATGAAATCACATGATAAAGTAGTTACTACACATCTCTGCACTGTTAGAAATAAAGGTTCTGTGCAGGTACATTTCTCGTTCATCAAGGTACGAACAATGTAAATGTTCCCTCAAAGGGACAACAGTGGTTTAAAGGCCCCGTTGTGAACCTCGGATAAGTTTTTCAAGGTGAAAAGTACAGATTTGTACCTTTTCATAACTGAATGCTGTAAAACAGAACAGTAAAATAAAAAGCCTGGAGACGAGACGGGGTGTGTGGAGTCAGTATAACTTAGAAAATATAATTTCAGTGGATTATGGTTCAGTTATGTTCCCTGACTAAAGGTACTGAGATGTACCCTTGAGGGCCCCACCCCAGTGACAAGAGGGATACTGCCCCAGTGACAGTTAGTACCCTTTTTCTGAGAGTGTGGACACCAACCAACGTCTATTTAAAAACGTTACCTATATGCTGTCTCCTGTGCTTGGTGAACTCCGTCCAGTTCTTCCCAATAAATGAGCATCCTTCAGCCTCGCAGGGGTAACCTGGGCAGACGACAGTGTTCACAATTACAGGTGGCTAATAATTTAACATCAGGATTCTTACTTTCATGATACAAATTATAATATTTCATTTTTTGTCCGTTCTTAAAAATGTTTCCTCTTCTTTAGTAAAAGCAATGGTTCTGTTTAGAACCATGAAGACTAACCGTTTGAATGCATAAATGGTTCTTCTCTATGATAAGGCTGAAAACCAGCTGTACACAGTTCTTTAAGAACCCCAAAAAAGCTTCTATATAGCACTGAAAAAGGTTCCACTACTGTTAGGAATCAAAGAACTCTTTTTCAGTACTATATAGGACCCATTTAGCTAAGAGTGGAACAGGTGAAATGCAAAACAGTAGGACCACATTAAGAAAGTTATTTTTTTTATCAGTGTTTGCAAAATAAACTAATTGTTGAAAAAAATGTGTTGAAAATCTATGAATAAAAGAAGATGATTTCATAACAGGCTGCCACCCAATCAGCTAAATGCTGCTATGCAGTTCATGCTGTGACTACACACTAGTTGTTGTTTATAGGCTTTGCTCCAAGTCAGGGGTCGGCAACCGAAATGTTATGCCATTTTGTCATTTCAACAAAAATCAGTCCACCTTAGGAGCCACAAAGTATATGTCCATTTTACCATCTTGGCTGTAAACGTGAGTCAGTATGTGCTAATTTAGGCAAAAAATATAATATAAATGAAAACGCAGACTTACTTTGCTCTACCTTAAGCTGTAGCTCAGCTATAGCTGCTTTTCTTGCAAAAAAGTGGTACAGTTTCTTGTAAAATGTTTCTCAACGTCTTTTACGAGGCTGAAGTCGCTTCTCATTCGCCCGCTTCATGTTAGAATTTTTCTGTTCCACCTTAAATGGCGCCTGAGGTGCCAGAACATAACTGCTGCACCATTTAAGGTGGAACGGGAGATTTTGAACGAGAAACTGACTTCAGCTTCGCGACGTTTCAGTGTTTCACAGTTTGAATCTCGTTGTAGATTAAACGTATCAGGAAACCAGCTGGAGTGATTATAAATGTAAATAAGTCCATTTGTCTCCAGCTTCAGGGTTAAAGCGTAAATTAGCAGATATACGTTAACTCCAGCGTTTAAGACCATTTACTGTTAAAACTGTGTTAAACGATCAGCAGAGCTTTATTTTACTGCAAAGGAGGATTATTTTATTTTTACCTAAAAATCGAATTCTGCTATGGAGCCGCAACAGGACAGTAAAAGAGCCGCATGTTGCTGACCCCTGCTCTAAGTGGTCTAAATCTTTTTTTAATGATCTGTGCAATTAATTGTTCAGTGTTGAAGTACTAAAGACCCGTCATAAACAACAAAGTGGAATATAATATAATATATAGTGATATAATTTGTCAATAGTGACAGTCATACTGTACCTTTATGCACTTTCTCGTGTTGTTTGCGTTTGCTGGGGATTGAGAACCGACGCTCACAGCCCTCATAAGAGCACCTAGAAATGGTTTATACCGGAGAAATCATTACCATAATCAGTACATGCACTGAAACTGAGATGTATAGTTTTTCTTGTATAATCACTGCTGTGAAAATGTGATTCATTTAGGAAAGAAGTCTTACTCATAAGGAAGCAGATTGCTGTGAGTATATTCGTGGGTCTTCAGCCGGTTGTTCTTCTTGAAACTTTTACCGCAGCCCTCAAACGAACACTGTGTAAACAATGATGCGAAACAGCTGAATAAAACAGCACACAGTTAAGACGGGATATACAATATAATCATGAACCCACAAGCATGACTCTATAATTGTTCATAACTTCACAGCTTTGCAATGTGCAAAAAAAAAGCAAAGAATGAAATTTAGCATTTAAACTAAAACAGCCTTTAATTCTGTAAGATGAAGTACATAAATCAAATAATAAGAGGAACAGAGGTGAAAGGGGGCTTACGTAAAAATTATAAGAGGAACCCAAAGATGAAAAAAACAAAAAGGTAGGATGTGGGCCCTTTAATCTAATCAAAACAAATCAAATCACATTGATATCAAACATCAGTGGTGGACAGTAACTAAGTAAATGTAATTCGTTACTCTACTTAAGTAGTTTTTTGTGTATCTGTACTTTACTGAAGTTTTTCCATTTTGGGTGACTTTTTACTTTCACTTCACTACATTTCAAAGTCAAATATCTTACTTTTTACTCCACTACATTATGAGAAATCTGTCATTCCTTTTGGCTTATGTGTGTATAAAAACGCAACATGTCTAAACAAAAGAAGCGTGAAGCAAGAACACCAATCAGGGCACAGCGCACTTAGTTTTGAGCTTGTTTTGACCTGTTGGACATACCGACCCAGTGCAAGCACACGGTTCAACGTCAGAGCAGCGTAAAATTTTGGGAGTGTCTATTCAAAATAAATGATGGTAGAAACTCCTGACTCTGACCAAACTTTATGTAAACAGATCACAATATAGAAATATGTACACATATGCAGTTGTGACTGATGTGTCTTTTTTCTGAATTTATACAAACACATTTCATTTTATGGTAAATTTGTTTTGGCTAGTTTATGTTTATGAACAGAGACCTACAGATGCAGTTTAGTAAAGGAAATCTCATTTGTGAATCTGAGTTTAAAGCAAGTTTTTATTAAATTTAAACTTGTAACTAAGTTGCAAAAAAGCCTTAAATTGAAACTTTGCTTGTTCACAAAAGGTTATTTCAGAGCCACTCAGTTCTACCTAATGGAAACTGTTTGCCTTCAGTGTTTTGTGCTTATGATATTTTTAATAGACATCAGCGTCACTAATTAATGACATTCTATTGAAATATTGCTTTACCAAGAGTGACACTGGAGTATTTTCACCTAAAATGTGTGGATAAAGCTAGAGTTTTGTTACAAAAACGATAAAAGGACATTAGAGCCATAATTAATCTTTAATACTTTTACTTTTGATACTTAAGTACACTGAAAGGCAAATACTTTTGTACTTTTACTCAAGTGGAGGTCTAAAGGAAGGACTTCTACTTTTAATGGAGTAATATTTTACCTTGGGTATCTCTACTTTAACTCAAGTACATGGTTTGTGTACTTCGTCCACCACTGTCAAACATATACATCGCTGCTGTCAAGACAAAACCTTGTATCTCCAAAATGGTAATTTTACAGGAGAAGGAAAAAAAACACACTTTACTTTTAATGTAAGTCAATGGAACCAGACTTTTTTCGAAGTAATTTTGGGCCGTTTCTTTTGGTCCATTCCTCATGAAATTTACAAACAATGTAAAGAGCAAAATGCATTTTCAAATTATGCCAAAAACTGAAAAATGACAAAAATGGAGATACGAGGTTTTGTTCTGACAACAGCAATATATATTTATGTATATTTAAGTAGTACAAGGGTGCCACGCACCTAAGATTTTGGATAAAGACAGAGGTGGTCAAATTTTTGCAATGTTACTGAGGTGGGAAAAAAAGCTGTTAATTACAGAGATTGTGTGTGCACTGAATGAAAGAGTTGAGTCAAAGAAGATGCCCAGATTTTGTATCAGGGGGAAGGGGACACAGTTACATTGTCAATGGAGAGAATATAAGAATGAGTTATGTTTCATCACTGTTTAACCTGAGGATGTTGTGCTTCATCTAGGCTTTAATTTCTGTTTGGCAGTTTTCTAAGTGAGTGAGGGGTGGGTTTTCAGTAGATTTAGTGCTAAGGTATATCTGTGTGTCATCTGCATAGCAGCGAAAGTTTATCTTGAGGCTACGTAGTACGTGACAGAGAGGAAGTATGTCCACAATTTTAGGACAGCGCAAGCCAAGCACAGAAATCCTAAAAGTGCTTTACTCATAAATGTACAGTAATAAACTCACAATGTACTGTTTCACTTGTAGTCTGTGTTTGCGTGAAACGTGTTTCTTCAGGTTGGCGTTTGTGGTGAAAGCTTGAGAGCATCCTCCTTCAGTGCACCTGCAGACACAAGACAGAGCGACAACATTAACATTTACCACCATTTAGCTTCATTCACAATCAGATTATTATAGAACCAAGTTAAAATGTTGGCCCAATGTCAAAATTAAAATAATAATAATAAAAATAATAATAATTCACACTGAATGAACAAACTCAGCACATAAAAAAACCTGGTTTAAAAATCTGAAAACCTCTAAATCAGCTCGACTGCTTACTTGAAGGGTCTCTCGCCGGTGTGTGTGAGCTCATGACGTGTAAGATGCGATTTAGTGCAGAAAGATTTACTGCAGCCCTCATACTGACACTCAAATGGCCTCTGCAAAAAAATTTAAAAACAAATAAGGAAAGAAAAAAAAAAACAGATGTTGTTAAAGGTACTGCATATACAGTGCTGTCTGAGACCACCCCTCATTTATTTACTTTCCAGTCAAAACAGCCATTGGGTACAAGTTATCGTTTTTAAGAGGTATTTCTGAAGGAAAAAAAGTGTAAAAACACTAGTTTCTAAAATGTTGAAAGAATGATTAAAAGCTACAGAGAAAATGGGGCTCCTAACAATCACCTGCCCTGACCACCAAAACTGCCCCCATCAGATAAACAGCACTTAAAAGCTTTCATCTTTGAGAGAGAGGAGAAAATCAAGCTGCTTCAGATCTGAAAACATCCACAGGTGTTTCTGTCCATCCTTCCACTGTGAGAAGACGACTCAGCGCTATGGGTCTGAAAGGATGTGTAGCTGTCAAGAAGAACCTCACTGAGAAAAGGAGACGGACACATCAAACAAAGAAGCTGAACAATGGACTGACCGCCCCAGAGTCCAGACCTCAACATCACTGAATGTGTTTGATTACTTCAGAAAATGATCAACCAGCTTCTGACTGGACTTTGGAGGCGTGTCTGCAGATTTCTTAGAGAAACTGAAAGTGAATGGAAGCTGTAATGAAGGTAAAGAGTGACTCACTGACCACTCAAACAGCTGATATTAGATTTAGTTGTTGAGAATTATGTCTGATTGTCTACTAGATATGTTTTCTGCATTTTTCCTGGCGCTGAAAATAGTTCTTCAGCCTCTTTGACTGGACATTTGAAGGGTGACCTCTAGATTTTCCATATGGAAAAAAAACAGGAGCATGTATTTTACTACATTACTAGACTACAAGGTTTTCTTCCTACAACAGCGATATGGATCATGATGCTATGAAAAGAAACCTGACCACATCGTATGGAGCCAACACTAAAATATCGCGAACATATCGAATCGCTGCCATAAGACACATATTAAAGCAGTAATTTTGGTTCTTCCTCTATAAGACATTTACAGGTTTACATTACTTGTAAATGAGACTCTTTCTGAAACTCACCACTCCGGTGTGTTTACACAGATGAGCCTCTAGTTTCCACTGTTTGTCATAAGCCGCCTGGCAGTCTGGAAAAGAACAGATAAAGCTCTTTTGCCGCATTATAAACAAGAAAATCAAGGACCAAAATAAAGCCGGAGATCCAGACCATGTGGACACTACAGCGCCATGTTCGTTTGGGCGCTGACGTCACCAGGAACGTACCACGTGGAAGAAGGAAGAGGGGGGAGGACGGGCGAGACCAAAAACAAGCCGATTCCACTCAAGACACGGTTTAGTTCGCTTTCACTTCAGTCCAAAGTTAATAACATGTTAAGTAAAGTTGTGTTTATTCCACATAATCAGCCTATAATAGTATAATAAATGAATCTACACCGATCAGCCGTAACATCAAAACCACCTCCTTGTTTCTACACTCACTGTCCATTTTATCAGCTCCACTATCCATATAGGAGCGCTTTGTAGTTCTACGGTTACAGACTGTAGTCCATCTGTTTCTCTGCATACTTTGCCACCCTATTGTTAAATGGTCAGGACCCCCACAGGACCACCATAGAGCAGGTATTATGAGACCAGCATGCATTTGATGCCCTGTGCTGGTTTAGGCTGGTCCGGTGCTGATTTAGCTGGTCACCCGACATGGTCATAATGGTTGACCAGCGTACCAGCATCCAAAACACAACATATACTGGTTTTGCTGGTTACCAGCTATGCTGCACTATGCTGGTTTTCTAGCAGAATGGGTGGTGGGTCATTCTCAGCTCTGCAGTGACAGGTGACGTGTTAGCGTGTGTTGCGCTGGTGCGAGTGGATCAGACACAGCAGTGCTGCTGGAGTTTTTAAACACTGTGTCCACTCACTGTCCACTCTATTAGACACTCCTACCTTGTTGGTCCACCTTGTAGATGTAAAGTCAGAGACGATAGCTCATCTGCTGCTGCACAGTTTGTGTTGGTCATTCTCTAGTCCTTCATCAGTGGTCACAGGATGCTGGTAGCTGGATGTTTTTGGTTCTCAGTCCAGCAGTGACACTGAGGTGTTTAAAAACTCCAGCAGCACTGCTGTGTCTGATCCACTCAGACCAGCGCAACACACACTTACACACCACCACCACGTCAGTGTCACTTCAGTGCTGAGTATGACCCACCACCCAAATAATACCTGTTCTGTGGGGGGCTTGTGGGGGTCCTCACCATTGAAGAACAGGGTAACAAAGTATGCAGAGAAACAGATAGACTACAGTCTCTAACTGTAGAACTACAAAGTGCTCCTAGACGGTCAGCAGAGCTGATAAAATGGACAGTGAGTGTAGATATAAGGTAATGTTATGGCTGATGTGGACGGTGTGTGTCAGTACTGTGAGTAAATGTTGAGTTTGAATATGTAACTTCTTTGAATTCTAATTCAAAATGTATTCTTATTATTGAAGATTTGTTTCCATTTATTGTTTATTTCATATTTATTACTTTATTTTATATTGTTTTATTTTGTTCATGCTAAGCATAAGAATTACCAAACGCCTAGCAATTAGCTCTAATTATCCAATACTTTGAGTGCATATTAACGTTTGCGGTTAAGGGCACATTTTGATCGGATTTGCAAAGCCAGTGGCTCAACACAGCCATCCAGTGGTCATTTCATTCAACATCTTGATTCCTGACCAACAGCCTTCAAACAAAATGATGCCACAAATAAAGTGAAAAATAGTACAAACAAAGAAACGCTTCTTGAAATATTAACTTATAAGATGTTATCATTGCTTCATTCTAGAAAAACTTAGAGAGTCAGAACTGTTCACAGTGGTGGTGACAGGAACCAGATGTCCACCTCTAAAAGCTCCCTCACTGCAAGTTATTACATAAAATGGTTATGAATTCACTGCCTGATGACTGAGACATTGTTCTATATATGTTTAATAGTTTTGTGGTCTAGAACATATTTCTAAAAGCTGTTCATGGTTAAGGGGTACATGTAGGGTGTTGTGAGGCAAAAACAGTCCCCAGAGAAAACTTATTATTTCAGATTTTCCACTATTTTACCATCATCAACATTTCATATAAAGCTCAGAAGACATGTGTAGGTTGACTGGTGTTTTGGATAGTAAATAAAATGTCTATGTTTGTGCTGTAGATATCAATTACCAATAATATGGGTCAGTGACAAATAAGGTTTTCAAACTGGCAATTTTTAAAATCTTATTAAAAAGGGCATGATGTGCCTGTTTGTATTTGCATATATATCTGCATTTAAATCTGTGAATTTTAGATCTTAAATATAGTGAGTGTTGTCAAAGCTTTCATTGCTTATTTCAGTTATTAAACTATGCTGGTCTGGTTGCACCATCTGACTGGCTGGTTGAGCCGCCTGACTTTTCAGACTAATTTAAATTAAAACAGGCATCTACTTATTTACCTGTAGAAACCTTTGTCCTTCAACTTGAGTTCATACTTACTTATTCAAATAAATAAATATTATTATAATAATTACACATTTTCATTGTTCTCCCGAGGTCAGACCACCTGACATGGTAAACTGAACGATTCTAACCATGACACAACCTGCGAAAGGGCTACTGACCTTAGCATTGCACCATGAAAGTCATTTGGGGTCTTCTTAATGGCACCTCTTTGGTAAAATAAGCATGTCAAAATAAAAGTCAAAGTTGCCTTATTTTGAAAAATGTTTTTTTATTTTGAAGTTTTTTTTTAACATGAAATCATGCCAAATCGTTTTATTTAGAAAAATAGGTAGAAAAGTTATGTAGAAATGACCCTTTTTGATAGTCTACTTAATCAATATGTATGACTGCACAGTTGCACAACCAAAACCTTTTTCATTTTTGGAGGCAAAAAGAAACTAAAATTAATTTTATATTGATGCACTGAACTTTGTTTCACACGCGGTATTTATGAATTATTTGATGTATGTCACGTCTTTATTAAATTATTTTTTGGGGGAAAATAATGGACACAGAAAATGCATGTCATGTCAAAGACCTACATGCAATATCCAGTGGGGAATTCTCAGGGTTTACTAGGCCTTCAAAGAACTGAACCCAAATTAAACACTGCATTTTGAGATGTTCTAGGAATATTATATGATTATTTAACTTATTTCTAGATGTTTTGTGCTTGTTTAAAGTAATTTTAAGTGAATTAAGTAAAATTATCTCACCATACTGGCAGATAATTTTGCTTGTTTCAAGCATATTTCTTGAAATAAATCCAATTATCTGCCAATATAGTGAGATAATTTCACTTAATGAAATTACTTCAAATAAGTAAAAATGTCTAGAAATAAGCGAAATAATCTTATAATTTTCCTACATCTCAAAATAGGAAATATTAGATATTTAGACTACATTTAAGATGATTTCGCTTGCCAAGATGCCTTTTTTTTGCAGTGAAGGCCTAAAACTACAAGTGGTGAACTCACCACTGGTATTATCCAGTCCTGTCCTCTACAGTGGAACAGAGACACAACCGATCCGTAGGCCCAATATAAAGCTGGCATTTGGGTACTTCACTGTGGACAGACAGCTGCTTTCAGACTTTAACCCCCCCCTCCCTCCATACAACCCAAAAAAGATCTCCTCTCATCCTTCCACTTTCCCCAGTCCATCTTCTCGGGCCGGACAGAGACAGCACACGCTGGGGTGCCGCCGTCCGTCTTAATCACAGCCTTTAATCCTCCGTCCCGTCAGCCAGCCAGAGTTGTGAGCTCACGTGAAGGTTGAGAGGGGGCGGATATGGTGGGGGGGACAAGGAGGGGGGGGTGCGAAATCTCCACTGTACTCCTGCTTAAAAGAGGAGGATCAGGGGTCTGGATTTCACACAGAAACAAAGAACAGAGCTGATAAAGAAGCACAAAGGTTATGCAGATCTATGGAGGCTTTCATGTGAAGGAGAAATTCCATTTTTTCTTTCTCCAGGACGATTCTGTCAAATAAGATGTCATAACTCGGGCAGAAAAAGCAAAGAGCAGCTGACAGACTCATGCTTTAGCAGTGTTTCTGTTTCTGTTTTATTATGGCTGTTAATAATGTCATCATGAAAGGACATGGAGACCAAAGGGACATTTGAGTCAGAGATTAAGCTCAATGATTTGCACTGTCAAAAGACATTTTCAATCATAATACCAGAGACTCTGTGCATGACAACTGATGTGTTTTATCCTGTGGTGCAATCTGACTCAGCTCATAAAGCTGATAAGCTGAATCAGGTCTCAGTGCCAGCCTTTAGGGCTCTTACTCATGGTAGTGCCAGTCTTTAGGGCTGTTACTCATGGTAGTGCCAGTCTTTAGGGCTGTTACTCATGGTAGTGCCAGTCTTTAGGGCTATTACTCATGGTAGTGCTAGTCTTTAGGGCTGTTACTCATGGTAGTACCAGTCTTTAGGGCTGTTACTCATGGTAGTGCTGATCTTTAGGGCTGTTACTCACGGTAGTACCAGTCTTTAGGGCTGTTACTCATGGTAGTGCTGGTCTTTAGGCTTGTTACTCATGGTAGTGCCAGTCTTTAGAGTTGTTACTCATGGTGGTGACAATCTTTAGGGAGCTTACTTATGGTAGTGCTGGTCTTTAGGGCTTGTTACTCATGGTAGTGCCTTTTCTTGAGGGCTGTTACTTATTGTAGTGTTGGTCTTTAGGGCTGTTACTTATCATCATGGCAGTCTTTAGGGATCTTATTCATGGTGGTGCCAGTCCTTAGGGATCTTACTCATGGTGGTGCCAGTCCTTGGGGCAGTTACTCATGGTAGTGCTGGTCTTTAGGGCTGTTACTCATGGCAGTGCCAGTCTTTAGGGCTGTTACTCATGGTAGTGCTGGTCTTTAGGGCTGTTACTCATGGTGGTGCCAGTCTTTAGGAATCTTACTCATGGTGATGTGAATCCTTAGGGCTGTTACTCACGGTAGTGCTGGCCTTTTGGGCTGTTACTCATGGTAGTGCTGGTCTTTAGGGCTGTTACTCATGGTAGTGCTGGTCTTTAGGCTTGTTACTCATGGTAGTGCCAGTCTTTAGGACTTTACTTTTGATAGTGCTAGTTTTTTGGGCTCTTGTTCATAGTAGTACCAGTCTTTACCCTTGGGTGTGCCAGCCTTTAGGGCTGTTTTTCTTGGTAGTGCCATTATTTAGGGCTCTTGCTCCTGGTTGTGCCAGCCTTTACTTTTGGTGGGGAAATTCTTT